TGTGGATGCGGTCACACCACCCAACTCCGACTCGTGGTGCACCCATGTTTTTTTTGTAATGGCTTAATAGTGTATATAAATCCCTACGTAAGTCAAACAGCTGGTTGATCGTTTTAACACCATTAAAGCAATGGTGGCTTGAATCCTAGGGTATATCCCGGCATATCCACGAGTGTTCTGCTGCCAATGCCTCTCCTTCCGAGAGTGACGGACTTCCCCCCGACCACCGCTCTCGTCCATCGGAGAGAGGGACCGCGCGCGCTCGCGAGGACCGGTCCTCCGTGCGGACCGGTCCGCAATGTACAGTATCGACACTGGTCGTCGGGTGGCTCCGGGGACTGCGCCATCGAAGCGGGACACGCTTCACACTCTGGAACCCGAATATGGAACGAGCGGAAACGGGCTTCCGTTGGAGCATTGAACACATGGTTGACGTGGTGTCGTAGTGCAAAATTCCGACAAAGTATGCAGTGTTGCTTGGTCAAGGCTATTGAACTATAACGGTGGTTGGAAGCCTTTAGGGATAACATGGGGTAACATATAACTCTATATGTGACTGCCAATACGCATCTACCGGGCGACGCATGGGGTGGCTTTAGGTCACTGTGGGGCCACCCTGGACACTAAAGCACAAATTAGAAGGTCTCAGTGACTCAGTGGCAGGCCCTTTTCCTACCGACCGCATGACTCGGCCATTGCCGCGGGAATCTGGAATGGGTTGTAGAACCTTCGTAACAAACAAATATCCCTATAGCCCTCCGTTCGACCATGAAAAGAGTGCGGTTGACCTGGCTTGGTGGTGCAACATTCATTGTAAAAAAGCTGCTTGTTCGATAAAATACATTAAATCAATCAATGTTTGGGAACCCAGGGATCTACTGTAGTGTAATGAGTGCTCCAGTCAAACTTGAACATTGACTCTGCAGTGTCTATAGTGAGTAGCAAAGCACTTTCAATACAGGTGGCTGTCAAAAGCAACTGCTTCTGCAGCAACAGGCTTGCCTTCAGCCAAACAACATCAAAGAAGCCTCTTTGAGGAAAACATTGACTGCTACACTTCTTGAACGCCTAGAAGTAGGACGTCATGCATTTAACCATCAATAAGAATGATACCACGTGATACTGATAAAGGAGAAACGACATCAACAATCCACAGAGTCTTTTGCACTGACCAAAACTCCAGTACGTTGACCTCAACAAGAAGCCCCTTGACGCCTTACACCATCTGGTGAAACATCCTAGGACGTCTATCACTTGTAAACCATTAGTGGGATCAATCAGTTTTCTTTGAGACTTGACCCCAAAACAGCTATATGTTCTGTCGGTATTCAGGTAGCATCATGGCGGCACTGAGACCCACCTGCACACGTTAGGCAGGTCTATTTTAGGACGCGAGTTTAAGCTGAAGGGGCTGCCGTCTTTGTACAGCCTCGGTGGGTAGCAGAATGTGACCACTTTCTCCTTTGGACTGACTGCCCCATGTTCCCGAATGTCCATGAGGCAGAATTGGTTTAACACTCCAACTGGAAGTTACTGTAATCAAGTGTCTACTAACATCAAGTGTCTGCATTAGACCACCCTAGAGTCCCTAGAGACATGACCCCAGACATGAAAAAAAACACGATGTCCGATCAGTGATGTCCGGCTGGCTGCTAGGTACCATCGATCAAAATTGGTTGTTCACCTGGGGGTATCCTCTTCCCATAAATCAACCAAGCAAAGTGCGCAGTAGTCCGGCCATCTATGACATCTATGATGCTGTTTCGTCGTAGTCGGCGGGCGATGAGGTCTGCTTTCACAGCCAGGTGAAACGGCATTTAGAAGGTTGAGTGGAGCCGTGTTGCGTTTTGAGTGGAAGAACTACTCAAAGATTGGCTTTTCCCGACCAGAAAAAGCTTGGTCATGTGGAATCTGCTCCCCAAAAGTGAGGACTGTCGGCGCCCAGGTCACCACCCGCGAACTGGAAGACGTGCAGTGGTTTCTGCAACAAATACGACAGGCCACACGATTCTGCTGCTATGCTGCGCTGCTTAGATGATTCTCACATGCCAAGAACTCTTCAAAAGGACATGCTTTAAAAACAAACAAAACACGTGATAGGACATCATTCATTCCTATTCCAGAGGCCCAAAGACAAGCTGCTTTTGTGTTGGGGCCAATGACGCTGTTCTCACAAACCTAAAGGGAGGTTTCCCCCTCGTCACACTTTTTGCCTACCCCCCAAACACCAGTGAGTAGACCAACCAGAAATTCTAGCAAATCTTCTTAGTAGTAGTCCTTGGTTTGTTCTTCTCTTGGGCTGCTTGAAAAAACCACTTGAAGAGCATCGAATTTCACGCCAAAGCTGTGACTGCATGGCCACAGGGGGCTGTATGCCGGAGGCGGCCGCGGGCGCTCAGTTGATTGGTAGGCAGGTAGGTAGGTTGCTTGGCGAGCCCAAACAAAGAAAAGAACAAGAACAAGAACAACAACAAAAACAACAACTATAATAACTGCAACTACTACCATCACCACAAAACATCACCATCCCGGATCATCCCTGAGACTGTGCGGATATATTCCCGAGTCGGTCTGCAAATCCTTCCGGGTCGGTGTGACGTAGTCGTGGGGCCACCGTCCGAGCTGTCTCCGTACGGTGCGTTCAACAGGTCGCTCTCCGTCTAGACCGGTCTCCCGGAAGCAACTCAGTGGTCGCGAGTGGTTGATGGTACCGGAGATGTTGGTTGCAGCTATTTCAAGCAAGAGACATGACATCCCTGCCAACAAACATCCACGTGAGGTTTCTTGGTTGACTCCCCTCAGTTTCCCTGAAATAAATACAGGTTCACCCCTTTTCCATCCGGTTAGAAGTGGGGAAGCAACCAATCACAAACAGAATGAAACCGTGATCCACCACCATCCCGCTTTCTTTTTTGTATTGGCAATATCTCCAACAACAGCAATGGTCAGGTCGGAGACCAACCTACCCAACCTGACTGCCGTCGACTGCACTGATGTCAAAAGATTGGGAACTGGAAATGACTCAGGAAACACTGGAAGATCCTTTTTAGTAACTTGGTCGTCACAAAGAGAACACATGACAGTGCTTCGAAGTTCCACTATGATTACTTGATCATCGACTGGTCTTCTCTGATCTTCACATTAGTGGTTTCGCGCTCGCGATCCATCCGCAGCTGAACCCGTCGGCCCCGCGTCGCGGTTGCGGCCCCCTCACGCGGTCGGCTGCGTTGCAGCAGCCACCGGCAGCTGTGGACTGCCGAGTGAGTACCTCGGGCGGTGTGACACATGTCGGTGCATGAAGTGGGCAATGCTCAAACAGGATGTGGGACATCTATAGGATGACACCTACCAGTACCTTCCAGCAGATTACCAGTTGAGATTTCAGACAGGCCTGCCTTTCCCAACCCTCCATGTCGGAGACCTGTTGGTCGTCGGGTGCGGAGTGCTTCGAGTCGACTTCGAGTCGAGACCCTCCAGGTGGCCCGAACCACTCGACGCACCCAGCAGGCAGCTCTGACCGACCGAGCCCCACATCCGGAAAGGTCCTGACGGACCGAGCACCGAGCCCAGAAATTTTTCCAGTCGTGGGGTTTGGGTAGACGGTAGGCATGCCAGGTCTATTCCTTTCAGGACTGTCCAGTGCATGGGGAATAAGACAAAAACCAACACCCGACGACCAAGAGGTCTCCGACATGGAGGGTCTTGGAAAAGGCCCTAAAAAGGTCAACTGGTAACCTGTTGGAAGGTGCTGATCGTCTGTCGTACCGATCGTCCGTCGCTTTTCTCGGGAACTTCACGGATCAAAGCAGGCTAAATTAAACTCTTTTTCCATGCTCTTCTCGGATGAGGGGACATCTACACCAAGGTTCAGGACGACGTCACAATCTCTTTGATCAAAGATGCTCACCCTTTCCACTATCTGAAACACCAAGGCCTTCAAGAAGGACCGGTTGAAGGAGCTGGGTGCCACTTCCCGTGGGAAGTGGCAAACCTAAGGTCTCTCCAATGTTGGAACCAAGCAATGCCGGATGGTTTGGGGAGGAACATCCCACGGATCTCACCACGGGTACCTTCGGTTTCCACCGCGCCACAAGCGCTGCTGCTCGAGGTCCAAGACTTCGAGGGCCTCGCGGAAAAAGCGAGCGACGCCCATTAATGACATGTAGATCGACACATCTTGGTTCTTTTACATGTCACTTTAGATCCATATTATATATACACTATACTCTTCTACACCACGCATGATTCAAGTAGACTGCAAGATGTGGTTCCGATTCTCTCCAAGACTCGTAGAACAAAACCAGAGAAACATCTGCCTTCGTAAGCATCTGGAAGCCCTCTCGAAGCTGCTCCTCCTGGGAAACGCTCGACGCACATGGCGAGACGGATGGTGATGAAGTCTCATTCCCAGACACTCCGTGCCCCGCATACCTTCCGGTCGGCCACGTGTTAAATGATTTTGACCCAAGAACTAGAACCATTTTGTTCTACCAATTAGGATTTCAGACTACAACACCAGCTGAAGAGCCAAGCTAACGCTTTGAATCCTCTTAGAAGGCCGGGGGGATTTACCAGCCGTGGCCTGATTGGCAGTCGATGCTCAGGCTGTCGGGGTCGAGTGAAACCGGACCGAGCTGCTTGTCTTCCTTTTGCCGAAACGGTGAAACACATATAAAAACAGATTCCCCCAGTTTCGGGGTTCGCCCAGTTCTGTTTTTTTTGGCGGGGTGGGAGAGAAAACACCCACCATGTTCCGCAACACCAGGCTCAAAAATCACTTTCAGGATCTTGAAGACATCCTGTGAGGAATGGTCCTGGCAGTCCCCCCAAAAGCACATATAGTTATGAAGTTGGGTGAGTAAGCATCTTGGTTTGGTGTGGGGGTGTGCATGCCATCCCCTAATATCACCCAATATCAATCATTTCGACCAAAAGAGGTAGTTTTTTCGATTTGCAACAAAGAGTGGATGTGCCGGCGTTGAAGAGACCCAGTGCCGAAGTTAAACGATTTGACTACCTGAAAAATCGAGATAATCATTACAAGGGGTGTCCACTCGAGATCCCCAAGTAGTGTACGGCAGTCTATTGGATGCCCATCGGATGATCCTGGTACACCTCATGAAATTTAAATGTTTAAACTCCCAAAGAAGGGATGCGGACTGGCATCGTAAATCTGACCAAATTACTCTAAAAACAAATAGGACCATAGGAACAGATTCTAAGTAGCACCACCCCAAATTATATGCCAAAAAAATCGCTCTACTCGTCGGGTCGCGCCACACCAACAACACCGCGCATCTCAGTGAACGCAGTTCGCCGCAGTGCGCTCCGCGTCTCGCCTGGATGACCAGTGGCGGGGCGCAATGCAGCAACGGGGGGCGAAAGAGCGCCATCAGGCCCTGATCGCGCATCGCCTGGAGACGTTGGACCCCCCTAGAACGACTGGGTATCGGACCCCAACCGAGGCCGTGTCTGCCATTGAGCTTGGTGGATGATTTTTTGGGTTGGTAGTTCAACATATATATACCTTCCAGCTTCTTCAGTTCGTGACCTTTTGAAGGTTCCTAAGTGACCCAAACAGGAGGCTTAAGTGACCTCAAACCAGGTTATCAAAAGGTCACGGTTGATATAGGTCTGTGAACCACATAAACATCCACAATTGAAACATACTGAAACTTATGTGACATAAGCATCCGCTGAGAAAAACAGGTTCGGGAAACATGCCGCTGCACCAATGAACGCCCGTAGTTTGTGTATAAACGCCCGTGGAATGTAAGAAAACAATCAGAAAACCAGAGAAACATCAGACTCAAATATCAGGGACTCCAACATATGTTTTTTCACGCCGCAGTTTTTAAACAAAAAAACACACTCTGGGGACTCTGGGGAAGTTCCTTCCTCTTAGAAGTTAAGAGGTTGGGACCAACAATCAATCTCGGCTCGCCAAGCTGGACGAAGTTCCGAAAAAGGCACCCTGGACTCAGGTGGACCCTAGAAAAAAACTGGGAATCGATGAACACTGACTTTGGAGCCGTTGAAAGATCGATTTTGGAAAGGACAACTTCACCGAACAGTCCGGGCTAGGGACACTCGGCCAAACACCTACTAACCTATACTAATGTATAGACAAAATACCCACTGCAGTTGTAACAATGAGATTTACTTCACTTCGATTGATCCCCACTCATTTCAATCTGACAAATTGAATCGCAATCTTCTTTTTTTACGGCCAATCTTCTGACATTATTTCTGGCATATCTTCTGACATGCTTTCTGGCATATCTTCTGACATTCTTCTGGCACATCTTTTGACATTCTTTCTGGCATATCTTCTGACATTCTGTCTAGTATTCTGCGCACCGCATATCATACTGTGGCTTTGATGAAACAACTCATGTCGCTGCTGCCGGAAACAGTGTCCGTCTCGTTATGCTCAGGTCTGCCCCCGACGGGTATATTTTGCTTGTGGGTATGTGGCGCACAAGTGAGAAAGCGACTCGAAATAATGAACGCATAGCCGCAAGAAACGAATCCAGGCCTCACACGGCTTGAGGTCGAACGCCGCCGTCGACACCATCAACTTGGACTCGTCCTTGACTTCCACCGACTGTTTGCCCACCTCTTTCACGTGGCTCATCAACCGCTGTGCGGGCGACTGCTCATCCCACATGGCCTTCATCTCCAACGCTTTCGCACGGTTCTTCTTGCTCCGCCATACTGCGTTCGCAGTCAACGTGTCTTGCCCGAACTTTTGCTCAGCCACATAGACATCCACCATGCGGCAGCAGCCGCGACAGCAGCTGCCCACTGGGCGGCGAGACTGCTTGCTCTTGTTGTATTGAAGTCGCACCCACTGTGGCATTCTGGCATTCTATCTCTGGCATATCTTCCGGAATTCTTTCTGGCATATCTTTTAACATGTTTTCTGGCATATATCTTTTGACATTCTTTCTAGCATATCTTCTACATATCTTCGGCCATTCTTTCGGGCGTTCCATCTGGCATATCTCTGACTCTCGATTGAGGTCCGGCGGGGAAACGCTGCCATCCGAAGGGAGGAGGAGGCGGAGGAGGAGGACGAGGACGGCAGCTGACATAAAATCTAACAACCTTCACCTGACAGGTGGGGAAAAAACCACTCCTCATTCCAAGATGTCGAACTTAGCCGACTTAGCCTTTTGAAAGTGACCGACTCATTTAATTACTTTCAAGCCAATCAGTGACCTGAAGCCCGGGCATCAAAGAACTTTTAAAAGCAACCATGATTTCTTTCGCGTGGTGTGTAGGAGCGATGCCGTAGTGATGAAGAATTGCTGCCAAAGGACCAAACAGAGTGAGACTGATCCAAACCCTTTGGATCAGGGTATGGATCGGGTGTGGGTTTTGGTGCTTGATCCAAGCCTTAAGTGTCTGGCCGTAGCCATATCATTAGTGCCTATAGCCAACTTACTGTTGATGAAATAAATCCTGCATCGCGTGAGAGGTGGAAAGGGAAACATGTCGGTTCTTGTGGTGTTTTGCTGCAGGATATCTTCCTTCAACAGTGTCCCTGGCTGCTCCAATGCTGCTTTCAACTCTGCTGGTACTGGTGCCGCAGTTCATGAATCCTCTCCTTGTTCAAAATTTCAACAAGAATCATGCAAGACCTGGAAAAATATTGCCGAAATTCAACCAGTGGGAAAGTCCAACCAATCTTCACCTTTATGCTGAAAGGTCTGAGCAGCTTTTTTTGGGCTAGGCTTAGCTCTGAGACATTCAGAAAACAGATCACCATCAAAAGACAAGAAAAGGTAAAGCTCTTCACAAATCCTCCACGAAAACGCCTTCAAACTTCACATACCAGCTCTCCAGAAAACAATCAGAACCTGCAGCATCCTGCAGCTGCCACTTCTGCCAGCTTCCGTTCGCGCGCACCTCAACCTCACTCGGAAAGATGAAAAAACGCAGGTGCGTCTCACACTCACGCTCACGCTCGCCGCGCACAAACGAGTGCCGCCTGGCGTAGGAGCTGGACCTCCGGTGGGGAGGCACCGCCCAGGCGTTGGATGAAGTGGCCATTGGGATTCTGCAAGTCCAAGCAGCCTCGGGAACCGCCCATGCGACACAGCGACCCAACGCACCCGTGCGGGACGGAAGAACCCGTCCGACCAAGCCATCGTCCCATCGAAGCCGAGGCCGTGGTTCATGCTGCCCCAAAAGGCGGAGAGTTGGATAAGCGCCTATCTATGGAATATCAGAAAACAACTCAGAAAACTAGTGAAACATCCGTAGGCTCAAAATTTAAGCTGTGACTCCAACAAATGGGTTTCACGCTGCAAAAAAACACCAAACGGATCATGAAGAAGTTCCAGCTATGTGGTACGTGGGTGGCGGAGGGTGTGTGGTGCCTGGTGGGGCCCAGGGTGCATGGGTGTTATGGTGGGAGTTCGGTAGAACTTGTGGATCTGCAGAACTAAGAATGCAATCATTGATGTCAAAGGCCTTTGTCCAAATCCTTTGGAAGGCTATAAGGACTTCCTTTAAAGAATTAGTCGTCTGGAGATGGGTCAAAACCTGGAGTTTTGGTCCACCATGTAGCTTGATTTCCCAGGTAGGCCAACAAAGCTATCCTGGTTTTGACACACAACAATCCAAGATTATCTGCAACGCATCCTCATAGTCGGAGAGGGAACGCACCTGTCCCACCCGTGCAATGGTTTTCACATGTTTTCACATAACGGAAACTTCCAGCGAAATCTCTTCAGTCTGGACATGGCTGTTCCAAAAAGCACGCCACCCAAACGCAAACCCCTCATCCCTGATCAGCCTTCCATCCAAACGGGTTGATCTGGGCGTTGTACGGTCAAATGCTACTAAAACAATTAATGGCTGATTCGGTTAGAACATATTAGACCCCTCAAATCAACGGTGAATCCTCCCCTCCCCCCGGTTCGAGCCCCAACGTTGCCGCCACGGGGCCAAAGAGCCCCACGTTCCGAGCCTGGCGACGGGGCGCCCTTTCAGTCCCAGCCGGGAACAAACCCAAACACGACCTGTTTGGGACTGGTGGCCAATCAGTTGGAGTGTGTCTTTTTTTTTTTGGGGGGGGGTCAATGTATCCCAGACACGACCCATGGGACTGCCATAGGACTGCCGCCCCATTGACGCCCCTGGCACCACCCCCAATGTAGGTAAATATGGCAGTCCCACTGGCAGTCCCATGGAGTGTCAATGTATGTATACCAGCACCTTCTAACAGATTACCAGTTGAGACCTCAAACAGGGCCAGACCTCTAACAACCAACCCTCCATGTCGGAGACGGTCGTTTCGTCGTCGGGTGCTGGTATATTCCAGTCCCATGGAGTGTCTGGGGCCAATGGACTTCCAATACCTGGACCCTCCAAGATCGGTGTTTCCGTTCATCAGGTGCCCAGCTTCACCACCGCGGTTTTCGGTCGCGTCTCCAGGTGAACCGAATGGAGTTGGAAGTGTCTGGGACAAACATGTCTGCCGTTTAATTTGCAAAGGAACTTCTATAGGTATATTATATCTTAGGAGTGTCTGGAAAAAGAACCTGACGAAGTTTGTTTTTTTACTTTGATCTGGACATCTGGCTGCCCTTAAAGGGAGATCTCCAACCATCGGGTAGACTGATCAAATGTCCTTTCTTCCAAAGGGTCATTGCCTGGGTGGGCTCCCTATATTTTAACTACCACCACCCACTACCACACCCTTATTATACATCCAAGTCACCTAACTAACAATATATAACATATTCACCAGGTTTGGGGGTTCACCCAGTTCGGGAAAATTATACACAAAAATAACCTGATCCGCCCAACCAACTTGAAAGGGAACAAGCTTTCCCTCCGCCTGGCGTACACTGTCGTGCTTCAGGACCAAGTTCTGCAGCTCCTACCAGACTCACCCATCGACGCCCCTTCAGTTCCCAAGCCTTTCCCGGTCCAAATCCGAGAACGGTTCGGGTCCGGACCTCTCCAGCGGTGAAACACAACTATATCACTATGGATCCACTGGCACCGAACCTGGGGTACGGTGATGGGATAGTCTGTTTTTGTAGGCCCAGCCACAAGAATCCATAGAATTCATACACCTTCCCTACGGATCCACTGGTACGGTGAGCCTCCGGCCCGTCGTCGGGGCGAGCCTATTCGGTCTGGTGATGGCCCGTGGATCGCCAGTGGAGCCGAACCGGAGAGCTCTCCCGAACCGGGTCGGTGTTCGACACGGGTCGTTGGGACTCCCAGTTGGACAGATCTTCTGCAAAGGCACCAGCTCGCAGCTGGCTCGGGGTGGTTTGCTTCGTCTCATCCGCCGTGGATGTGATGTGCAGGGCACACAACCCCCACTTCCTCCAAGTTGGGCAACCACAACATGTGACTCCTGGTGAGTCTTTCTCATTTTTCGTCGCCGAGTCGAGCCGGAAGGGTTGCAGAAGCGGAGCACACCCCATCTGGTCATATGAGAACGCAGAATTCCATGGAGTTTCACAGATGGCATGTCAAGCTATCTACTTGGAGACTACCCATCAACACACTATTTATGTTTAACTTTTAAGCATGGAACTTCTCCCAATTCGGAACACATGATGTACAGCCATATAATAAAGCCATGTCCACTTGTTGGTTTCCTTTGACAAACCTGCACCTCATGCAACAGATTGGCATAACAAAAATCCAATCCATGGGTAACGGATGCGAGGAAACAGTGGAACGAGCATCATGTTTCTTTTTTGTGTGCTCAGTCAAACTTGTCCCAAAAGACCTGGCCCCAACTCATGTTTTTTCTTCCAAGCAACAAAGGATCCTGTATAGTTGCAAAACTGAGGTTTTGTTGAGTGACTATTTTGTCTTTCACAGGGGTCTTTGAGAGGTCTCCCTATTCTAAATATACACGCATATGATCACACACGTCGTGTGGTTGCTGCGGGTCGGGTCGGAGACCCCGAGGCTCTCCTGCATCATGACATGCTCCAAAGACTGAACCTTCTCCACGATCTTCTCCTGATCCCAGCAGGGCAAATGGATCTGGCCAGACATCATCAGACATGCGAAAAAAAAACAGAAGAAGACACAGGAGATGTGGTTTGCAAAGGTGCAAAGGTCATACCTGGATAGATTGATTTGGTGCCTTTGTGGTCTGCAAGTGCGCTGTCCCGTCCCATTCCGCTGGTAGAAAATCAAGGCCCGGTGAGAATATTTTTTCTGAGAATCTGAACCCTTCTCCAATAGAAGGACTAAGAGACCGCTGCCATGGAGGACCCGTACGAATTCTGACGGTTACTTGGAGTGTTGGACTGAGGTTCCCTGTGAAGTCTCCACGACACTTGCTGGGGGTCTGAGCCGTTTTTTTCGCCCGGAAAACGCATCTGGAGAAAGATCATGATCCACCCACAGATGCAAACCCTTACTTTGGGTCTATAATATGTAATATGGCTGTTATTATAGAAGCCCCCTATATAGACATCTATGCCATTGCCATTATAAGAAGTCTGCTTAGAGCTGTTTTGGTCCACTTTGGGCCAGAAGCATCGCTGACCACCGTTGGCCCACACATCATCCGTTGGGGCCAGTCGGCTGTTGGGGGTCAAGATGAAGAAACTCCAGCGCAAGCTCATCCACACAGCCTCTAACTCTGTAAAGTATACCACTAGTAACAAGAAGTTACTAGGGGCTCCTGGCCTTACTATACTATAGGAGCAAGGACGCTACTAGGGGCTCCTGGCATCGCTACTAGGAGCACCCCCCCACATCCCCGAGAACCACGAAGCCCAAGAACACCCAACCACCCCGCGAAAACAGCGGACACGATACCATGTCCGGAGGTGATGTGGAAATGCTATTCCCAAACACGACTAATGGGACTGCCAGTCCGGACTACCGCCCCAGAAAGGCAGAAAGGGGTGGTTGACTGGGGGCCTTTCTGGGGTGGCAGTCCAGACTGGCAGTCCGGACTGGCAGTCCCGTGTGGAAATGCTGTGCAGTTCAGATCCTGTCGGGCCTGCAACAACATCGGTCCTCATCGCATCAACGACTCGTCGACCCTTTTCAACGCGTTTTTCGCAGCGCTGACGAGCTCGCTCTCCGTGGATCCGGAGCGGTCACGGATTCCACCAGCCTGGAGTCGACCTATTCGTAGCTCGGACAATGGGGACTCAGTCGTACCTGATTTGATAGGGTCATGTCCCATTTTCGGTACTTGAAGTCGCGTCTAGGAATAGACTTCACAGAAATACACACACTAGTGGAAGATGCTTTTCCTCGTTTTCCTCCTCCTCGACCACCATCCGGACCGCCAGTGTTGAAAACAGGGTCCTTGGTTCTATGTCTTCTTTCAAACCCTATAGGGATGCAGTCGTACTTTCTCAGAAGGTACCTGGACCCTCCTGGCACCTACATAGCAATGTCGAACACATCACCTTCTGACAAGATACTTGCATCCGAAACAGGTGGAGATATGATTTCGTCTTTGGACTCACCATGCCAGTCATCTGCGCGTCGTGCAGCTCGCCAGTCGTGCAGCTGATCTCCATGGGTCGCAAGGATCTTCATCTCGGATATCCATCAGGAGGCCGAGAAGTCATTCCTGTCCCCACACCACGATCGAAGCACTGTGGACGATTGAAAAGTATCATCTGATGTTCATGTACCGCACAATCCCTCACATACACTCTCAACGTGAATCAACCTCTCGAAAAAAGGGATCTTCACAACGGTTAATTATTGATCGGCCATTTGAGGTACTGTAAATCGCAGAGTACTACTCAAACTTCCCATGGAAACCTGTTTCAACAAAACATCACCCCAGAGATCAACCAAGAAACGCTCTCATGCTACAACTGGCCGCCGTCCTTTTTACCTGCTACAACTCCGATCCAAGGGATTGAAGGGAGAACCAGGAGCCCAACGCTGGACCACCAAAATGGGTATATAGGGGCTCTTAAAGCGAGACCTAGAAACCCCATGCAACGAGCAGCCAGGCCAGGAGTTCCAAGGGGGCACCTCTATCCTCCATTAAGCACCCCGGCATGGAACTGCTGGGGTATGGGTATTCGCTCATCTGAAGCCACAAGTCTTCACTAGCACATAATAGAACATACATAGTCGCATAGTGCTCTCCAAATAGATGGTGGCACGTTTTACAATACATGTTTAGTGGGGATTTACTTTTTCTATTTGGGTGTCTATATATACATCGAGCAGTGCGTGCAAGTGTTCAATTCAATCCCTGGCGATCCACGGGCCACCTTTTCCGGTTCGGCACAACAGGGCCCGAGAAGAAGGAGGGTGTGCATATCTAAATTACATAGACAGTCTCCGTGCTCACCGTAGCTCAGAAGGTATGTTCTTTTCAAAAGTGAGACCCCCCGAAAACTACAGGCTTGGCACATCGATCGGTTTTCTGAGTCGCCTTTTTCATGGTGGCGGTACCCTCGGCTCCGCGATCGCTGTCGTTCACCAGTGGGACAAAGCTTTGTGGCGTTCACCAGTACCCACCAAACTGAAAAATGAAGCCCCAGGGCGGCATAGCTTGAATGATTGGTCACAGATCGGTTATTCTCTCCAAGAGGTTCCATCAAACTGAGCCTTGCCAACAAAGGTTGAAGAAGCCTAGTTCGACTGCCCATGGATGCTGTAAGGCTATAAGTATGGTCTATAGGGCCCTTATAGGCAAGGCTGGTTGAAGAGCCTCAAAAAGGTCACTTAGCCTCTCAAACTGAGGTCCAGGATGGCTGTCAGGACGATTCGACGCCCTGCCCCAAGAATTGAATCTAGGAATCCATTATGGCTTCAAAAGGCTGCAGCCACAAAAAGGCTTTTGCAGCCCATAAGAAACTGGCCATGGACTGGAAGAGTTACATAGGACTGGGGCTCATGAATAGGGTGAAATGTATGTCACGTATTTCATACATGCAGTGTGTGACCATGTAAGTGACCATGTCACCACTCTGAGCTCATCCACCAACCCGATCCCCGCACAGGGCATCGGCGGAAGCGCCTCGTGTCGCCCCTGTGCCGCAGATTCTTTGACACGCGCACAAGAGCAGTCGGAGACAATCCTGAGCACAAGCGCTTGGGAGAGAGAAGAAACTCGGAACCCGGAGCCCACCAGCTCTGTATATGCCCTACCTAGGCTTGGGCTTCCAACCACCAATAGAATAGAAGATTTTACGACACCAGGTCAACCAATATTTTAATATCTTTTAATGGATCCCTAGCGATCCAGTCGTACCGAACTTTATGCAAAATAGAGAGAGATGGTCTGGTCCTGGCTAACTATAACTACGCTGGTCTGTTTTCCTTCGTCCACGGGCTCTTTGGAGGTCTCCCTATTTCAATACACACTCACAGACCTTTTCAGAAGGTACGGCTGCCCCCTCCAAAGGCTACAGAATACATTCTCCAATCACCTTCTCAAACGGTCTGGATCCATCGGACAGGGAACAGGGTCGACCCAATCGAGAAATCCCACCACGGACCAGTCCGGAGCCCCGTGCACCACCGAAAACCTCCGGCGCCCAAGGCTCGTGGACCATTCCTTTGCGTGGCCAAAGCTGCACCACTTCCTGGTGTCCCTGTTGAATGGCGAAATCCAAGGCAGTGAGCCCCTCGCTGGTGGCCTTGTCCTGGTGGCGAAAGCGCTCGCTTGAACATGCACGACCAAGGCGAAGAAAGCAGGAAGTGCCGTGACCAGCGGAAGTCGACCATGTTCACCAATGCGCGCTCGATGCATGCTCAATGCAACGGCTTTCAGGATAGGAAGCTCTACAGGGGGCTTTCTGCCAGTGGTTGTGATTGGTGTTTTCTTCTACTGCAAGGTTCGTCCATGTCGGCAAAGCCACATGAAAGCGACAGGAAAAGGCCTTCACCTTTGGGGCGAAATATGGTGAAACCGCTCGGATCCAAACAACAGGAGCCAGGATTTCCCTGTATAGGCTCACTCCAGCGGAGTGATGTTTCCATCGCTACAGCCCCCTGACATGTTGGAGGCTTTCCTATCCGATGGTTAAACCGTGATGTAAGTGCGTCTGGCCGACCTGGCTCCAAAAAACCTTGAGCCCCCAAAACCCAAAGGTTGCAGTCGAAAAATCAATCAATAGCTACCACCACCGCCACCGCCGCCACCACCACCTAAAGGGTGTTAGATAGAACATAACTAGTCAGGGGGGCTCCATCTTGTCTATAACCCCTTTAGAGGTGATTCCGTGATTCGGGGCGTCCATTCACCACTCCAAACCAGGGGCTAATCCCTAAGGCTCCTGTCCCATCTCCTCAGGTTCACTGGTCTTCGGCCCGCCAAGACCACCCACCCACCCCCAGGGGCCCTGTCCCATCTTCTCAGCTGGAGCCCTAGGGAATACGTCCATCCTTTTGCCCCCCTTGCCCACCCGACCTGCCCCCCTCCGCCAAGCGTCAGCGTCCGCTTTGGCCTCCAGCAGACGTCGCACCACCACTTTTCGGCCGGCGCGAGCGGCCAGGTGCAAGGGCGTCTCGGACATGGACTAAGCACGGTGTATGGGCAGGAAGCACGACTGATGGGACTGGACTGCCACCCCATTGACCCCCAAAACCACCCCAATGTAGGCATATATGGCAGTCTCATGGAGTGTCTGCGATTGTCAAACCCTGGGCCTCCAGTCGTACCTTCGTTTAGAAGGTGGGACTGGGGGCCCGGGTGCCAGGAGGGTCCAGACATACCTTCTGAGGAGGCATGACTGGAGGTGTAGGGAAAGCGGTCAGACGGGCCATGAGAAGTATACCTGGACCGCTCCAGTTGGTACGACGGGGCATGACCCTGACCAAAAAACAGGGTACAAGTGATAGCCGTTTTCTGAGGCACATTTCCAGGTTGACTCCAGGTATGGGCCATACTCGAAAGCCAAGGGGCGGGGACAAGGAAGCGAGCTTTAGGGTATGATGATTCACACATTCCACATGAAAGAGACCCTGCTTCGTCCGGTGCTCATTGCATCTCATTGCTTCGTCTGTGCTTGGATCCGAGAATTTCCAGATAGGAACAGTCGCCATACCGCCGTACCTTTGAACATGGTATTTCCAGGCCATACACTCCTTCAATCATGGAAGTGACCGTGGATGGCATGGATGGCTTCGAATGGATGACAAAATCCAAATACCAAACAGGTCGTCTTCACTCCACTTTGCCATGTGAAATAACATCCTTAAAAAAAAAACAACAACGCGCGCAGTCGACATGGTCAGGACCAGTCGAAAAGACTCCGTCGCTGGACCTCGGACGAGCTACGTTGACGATGTTGGCGTCGGCGCCATGGGCCAGTAGGAGCTCCAAGAGCTTCAAATCCGCATGTTCGGTGGCCACATGCAAAGCAGTCCCTCGGGCGGTGAATAAAACCGCAACACCTGGGCCCACCTTAACGTGCACCTCTGACATTTTGGTTTACCCTTTCTATAAAGTTCATCCCAGGTTCCAAGAAAGAATTTCATCAGAGGTGCACATTTATATCTGGATTGGCGTAGCACCTCCACATGCCAGGAACCCCTCCAACCTCGTGCCTGGAAAACCCCCCCGGGCTCGGGCTAGCGAAACTCGCTGACTGTTGGAGCGATTCGGTGCCTCTGAAGGTCGGAGCCGAAAGCCAGTCAACAACCGATACCCAAACACGACTAATGGGACTGCCGGACTGCCGCCACATTGACCCCGCTTCAAACACCCCGCTTCGTCGTGTCTGGGATAGGAAATTCAGTGACCTTGGATAACTGGACAAGGATTTCGACCCAATATAGCTCTGTTCTGATGAAGAAAGGACGTATCAGGTGAAATCGGTCACTATTTGGTCCAAATCGAGTGTTGAGAGGCCTGTGTCCATCTTGGTGCCCTTTCGATGTCATAAACAAAACAATACGAAAGCCACCCGCGGCCACCCAGGAGACGGGTGGTTATCAATTAGATGGAAATTAGATAGTCCGAAAGGTCTAGAAACCACCCAAACTGGTGGCATGGAAAATACCAATTAACACATTTTTGTTGGGTTCAAAAACGCTGTCGGTGTTTACGGTGTTGGTGGCTGATCAGGGGATGGGGGGCGGAGCTTCGACTGGTCGTCGCGCTCTTGGGAGCTTCGCCTATTAATGGGTGTGTATTAAAATAGGGAGACCTCCCAAACACCCCCCTGGAAAAAGGCATGTATAGACCAACACCCATTGGTTGGGTGCCCCCCAATACAATACACACCCTATTGGAGCCTTGAGTCCTTCATAGTATGACCACTTGTTGGGCTTCGCACCTGCCTCCAGCAAGAAGCGTACCACTTCGGCATGACCACCACGGGTGGCGCTGTGCAAAGCTGTTGTACCCACCTAAGATGTCACTTCAAAGGCAAAGACCACAGGAAAGCACAATCAGCACTGGGCAATTGTGTCTAAGCTCTTGTTGGTTTTGGGACTATATTGTTTGGGTTGCACGTCTTTTTCAACCTAAACCTATCACTGAGCTCCATGATGCATTCACCAAATCGTCCCATCCAGTTTCTGCAGGTCAGACACGTTCGTGGCCTTGTCTTGGTCGGCGCCAGCCTCCAGCAGCTGCCCCACAAGCTCCAAATCTCCCTCATAGGCTGCGACATGTAGTGCCGTGAAGCCTGACACCGACGATGGCACCGGGAGACCAGCTTTTTCCACCAAAAATGAACAGAATAGGCTTCATAGACATGGTCAACCTACCAGGGAGGAACGGGCTTTTGAGTGTCTCAGTGGGCTTGAACCGAACAAACCATCCTGAAAGCCAATAGGAGAAATCCTCTCACACGAAGCTGCACTTCATGATCACACCTAGCTTGCTTCATGACAAACAAGGCCTTTCGAAGGCCTTTCTGAAAGTACACTCTTTGATGCGTTTTGGTGATCAAGATCAACCCCCCCCCGTCCAAAGGTGGCATATAGATTTTTGTTCAGTCTTTTGGCACTTCATGGCATACAACAAAGTGGCCCTTCGCACATCCAGGGCTTTCTCTACACCTCCGTTTCGAAGGTGGTTGGGGTGGGTGCCAGGAGGGTCTAACCACCGAACCTGAGGATATGGTTGGAGCCCTAGGAATACCTTTCCTCCAACAACACCGTGTTTCAAAGCTTCTCGGACGTTCGGCCTTCTTCATTGGCCTCTTCCAGGCCAGTTTTTGCGCCAGCTTCCAGCAGCAAACTCAGGCATGCCAATCCCTCGTCATTTCGTATGACGGGGCCAAAGTACCAGTTGTTCTCATCATCATCCCCTGACAGGAACTTGGACTTGCTGTCCAAGCCTGGAAAACAATAGAACATATTGCCGAGAAGGGGAATTGACCCATAGTGTCACAAGAAGCTATTAGGAACAAGTGCATCGCTTCTAGTAACAAGTGCCTTACTAGTAGTAACAAGAAGCTAGAACCTTTTGGTTTTTCTTTTTTCCCTTTTGGACATCCCATAGAGTCCATCAAAAGTCCACCCGATCCGCCAAAAACAGGGGAACCGAAGAATGGCCCGTTCGCCTAAGGCCGAGCGATGACGGAGTCCACGCGTTTGTCCAAGGTTTCGACCCTGCCTGTGGTATCTGCAGCCAAGAGTTTCCGCATCAGCTTTCGCAAGGCGGTTCTTCCTGGTTTCTCCGCCGCCTCCGGGTTCAAAGGCCAACGCAGCAAAGACTCCAGGCGCTCAGCATCGGGAGAAGCAGCTGCCGCAATCAGTTGTTGAGCTTGCCCATCTGAAGACGGTGCAAAGTCCTCCCACACGGCGTGGGTTGGGCAAAAAAGGTTCCTGAACTTTTGGAAACATAGAAATCACAGGGAAAGAAGTGAAAAACTCATTGTCACAATCATGGCCATTAAAAATATATTACAGTAAATTATTACCGTATATATGCTAGTCTAGGCTTAGAACTTTGCATAAATAGAAAACTCGTTGCCATTTCATCTGCCGTTCTTCATCTGTGCCCGATGGGACCAGACGTACAGCAAGTACCGTAAGAAAAACAGGCACACAATTCCGGACATGACACCCAAACACTCCATGTGTGCCATACATGCCACCCCATTGACCCCCAAAACCACCCCAACTGATCTTTCATCGGCCAAAAAGACTCGACTCACTCCAGGAAAGCGTGGACAGACTCGACTCGGCCCCATATCGTCTGGGAGCTTGGTCACCAGCACCCCCGAGGTCACCCACGACCAGAGGTGGGAGGTCTTCCATGAAAACGAACAACCTCCAAGTTCCAACGACCTAGAAGCTTGTTAAAGTCTGCTCAATGTGTTTAAGCAAAAAAGAAACGTGTCATCCAATTGGCGAAGGAGTCCAGAATGACCACCTGCACTTCTGTCGAAGAGAGCTGATCGTCGTCATGCAATTCAGTGTGATCATCACCTCAAGTCAGCTGAAATTCACATCAAAGGTCAGCCTGCTCAAGAGGCTCAGCCATTAATTGTTTGTTTTAAGTCTAAGTCTATTATTGTTCATTCCTCGACGAAGCGCAACAAAAACATCCACTAAAAGGTGTTATCCACTCCCGGAAGGAAGATGAATTCAAATACTCACCAAGAGTTGCTCCCGAAAATTGAGCCTTGCAGAACGATCACCAAAGAAAGATACAACCCATCAAATGGATTCAAGCAGGTACGAGTTATAGAAACAGCATGCCTCAAATATGCACAACCAAAACAACAAACAAACAAAAACAAAACGCTCAAACCTTCTCACCGGGTCACTCAGCCATCTCTGGCGAAATCGGTTCACAGAGATCTCCTGGGCCAAACGCCTCTTGAGGAACTTCACCGGCGCCCCCTGGACCTGTGACCGAGTGCAAAACCAAAGCACGATGGATGGGAATGTCTCGGATGGCCCCTTAAACTTGAATCACGCAATGTACCCCATACACTCCATGTATGGAATATATGCTTCCATTGATCCCCCTGGCACCATCCCAACTGATCGGCAGTCCTATGGCAGTCCCATGGGTCACGTCTGGGTACCCCAAGAGTCCGGGGCCCGATCCAACGTGAAGGGTCTTGCTTCGGACCTTCCCCCTGCGGCCCTACCGTGGAGAAGGCCCGGATGAATTCTTAGGGAAGGCGGAACCAATTCAGAGGCCAACAAGGTCACAAGGGGGAGGCCGAACCCAATTTGTCACTGTCCCAGACACGACTACTGGGACTGCCATATACATTGACCCCCCTCCTGGCACCACCCCTGGCCTGATCGGCAGTCCTATGGCAGTCCCAGAAAAGTCGTGTTTGGGTATCGGTTGTTGACTGGCTTTCGGTCGTTGGAAAAAGGTCGCTCTGACCTTCAGAGGCACCGAGTCCTATGGCAGTCCCATTAGTCGTGTCTGAGTGTGACACCTTGCCAAACGGTCGAATTCCTCGAAGACGATCTTTCGGTTCCGACTGGTGGTTTCGTGGAGCTCACCACCTGTTCGTAACACTCGTCCCATGGGGTCCCCCGTTCCACCTGACATCGAGGAACCTTCCATGTGACACGTACGGCATCGACGCATCAAATCCGTATGGATCCACTGCCACCTTCTGAGGTACGGTGATGGGAGACTGTCGATGTAGGCGGTGATGGGTTAGCGTCCAACACCTTGGAAACGGGAGACCCCGTCTCAGACAGGAGACAGATGGAGACAGCCTGATGTGGGAGACAGACAGATGCAGACAGACCTTCTCAGGTGGATCCCTAGGTGGATTTCTAGGGAATGAAGAAGTCTTGATCCCCAGCCCAAACACGACTAATGGGACTGCCATATATGCCACCCCATTACCACCAAAACCACCCCTGGCTGTTTCTCGGCAGTCCTATGGCAGTCCCATGGAGTGTCCGGGTAGGGAATGGCCGGATCCACTTGTGGCAGACGCACGACGCCCGTCCCCCCCATGCGTCCTGGGACCACCGTGCACCGAGCCTCGGGCCTCCGCCGAAGGCCAGCAGGTCAGTGGCTCGCCCGTCATGGCCCACTTGAGCTTGAGCATGGTGTGGCACACGGGCGGCAGTTGCTGCTGGGGAGGCAGTAATTGTAGTTCCCTAGGGCTCCTGGCCTGCCTCCGTTTCGATGGGACAGGGGTGGGTGGCCAGGGGGGTTGAATACCACTGAACCTGAGGATATGGGCCGGGAGCCCTAGGGGTTACATATGCAGCGGCTCTTGGGTGTCTTGTACACCTGGAGTCTCAAACAGACTGTCACTAGCACCTGACTCTACAGGTGTCCTCTGGTGGCTTTCGCAGACTCGAAAGTGGCAGGTGGTGACCTGGCAGGGTTGAGGGTCACTGGAACGCACTGAGTGTTTGAGCTTCCTCCGGCAGTCGAACGAAGGAGTCTCAAGAGTAGCCGCTTAGCTTTTTAGGGACAGTCGTCGGTTGTTTGCATGTTGTGTTTGCTATCTCCGAGTTTCATCGCCATTTCTGTTTGTCAGTCTGCATGAGCCAGGCCCGGCTGGCGAGAAAACTCTGCACAACTTCCAGACTGCGCCGAATTCCGGGACCCACATGGACCCACATGCCACAATCCCAACCGAACGGGATTGGTCTACCGGTCGACCGGTCACTAGGAGGCTCCGAGCCGGATCGAAAGAAGCGGAGTCAACCAAGCGCACTCATCAACCATGACAAAACAAGACATGGCAAAAGTACATGGTCAACATTCCCTGGACTCAACTCAACATCATCATACTGAAGACAGAAGACATGACACACAAGTCCATTCCGTACAAGGCAAAAACTGCCAATGCAAAATGAAAACAACGTCCCAATGCAAAGGAGACTACCACAGATTATACAATAGAGTAGCAATGTGGTATTAACAATAGCAAAGGAGACTACTCTATAACCCAGACACGACCCATGGGACTGCCATAGGACTGCCGCCCCAGAAAGACCCCCAGTCAACCACCCCTTTCTGGGGCAGTCCGGACTGGCAGTCCCAGACAGGTCGTGATCAAGGAGAATACTGATGTTCAAAGGACCCCAGTAAATTCCCACTGAGCAGTTCACCAGGACGGCCACGGTCCGATCTGCCGGTCTGTCCGTGGTCTCGTCGCACTCGTCGCACTCCATCCCATTAGGCTCCAAGTATGTACCTCAAAAGCTATTGGAACCCTCCTGTAGTCCACCCAGCCCAGTCCCTTCGAAACGAAACGAAGCTACGACTGGAGCCCAGGCCGCTCCACCACCGCCCGCGGCGCGAATCGGTCGTTTTATTGGGGAACGACTCCGCTGGTCTTCCACTCCGCCCCCAGTGACTCAAGCTCCGCGTGGGTCTGCAAAAGCTCCGCGACTTCCTCGGGGAAGTCGAAAAGGCCAAACGACCGCGACAACGACCCAACATGGTGTGAAAACAACAAGGGCGGTCAGGAAGGGGTTGTTGGAATACTCAACAACGTCCTCCCACAACAAATGGATGTCATGCTGAAACATCGGTTTTCCATCTCTGCCAACTTCCCCAAACAGGTCGATTTTGGATGTGGGAGAACCTTCAAAGTTCGATGGGTTTCCACAAAGTCCTGGAATGCGATTCCAAAATGTGTCAAACAAAATAAGGTCCCGAAAGGCGATATAAAAAAATCAGTTTGTTGGTTAAAACAAAAAAACAACTCAGGTTAAACAAAGGCTTTTCTTACACCTGGACTCCCTTTCCATGAAGTCAAAAGGTGGTCTCTGAGGTCTCAAGAAACCCTTTTCAAGGCGGAAAAAGAACAACGAACGCCTTCAGTAGACCTCTTCAGGCGTGTTTTCTCGAACAAGTCTCACTTGACTTTGCTCTCGACCCTGCGGACGAACAGAAACACCATCACCCAGTAACCGGACCAGACACGAAAAGCGCCCAGTCATCGGCAAAAAAGAGAGCACTGGGTCTTCATGCCCGTAAGGATGACAATATTGGGCTATGCTGTTCTATAGGTGTATGTGTGTTCATCTACGTTGGGCCTCAAAAGGGCCAGGGCTGTTTCAGGCCCTTTTGGTGAGCCATTTCATGGCTCTCCATCCCACGCTTTTAGGCTCTCAATTCTAGGACCCGCATGTTTGGGGTCTGGTGGGGTCTGGTGGGGACTCTCACCAATCGGTTTTGAGGAACCGGGAAAGTGAACGGAGTGTCCGGGCCCCGGAACTCTTGCGGGTCTGGTGGGCCAATTCACCACTCGCTATCAGTGCACGTCTGGGGGAGTCTGGGTGAACGGAGTTGAAGAGGGCACACTCATGTTCAGCTGAGCTGCTTGATGACCAAAGACCAATGCCAATTGCAAAGCAGTCGTTCCGGATCTTGTAACTTTGTTCATGTCAACAGCAGCCTGAAGCAACAGTCTTACAACTTTCAGCTGACCAACCTCGGCTGCCTCGTGCAAGGCTGTCTTCCCACATAATGCTGTCTTGTCCTGGTCAGCTTTCGCTTCCAGTAGCAGCTCCACAACTTCAGCGCTGCCATAACCAGCGGCCAAATGCAAAGCAGTTGCGCCGGAAAGAGATTGGGCCTAGATATCCCAGACCATGCATGGGAGTGGAATCGTTGCATAATGTTGCATACATTCATTTAAGTCCATGAAAATAATCTAACATAATCCTAATGCACTCTTCCGGTCTCATTGGATGGAGTTGGTATGTTTGCTGAATCACATCGAAGAGGGGGAGTTGGCTCACTTTCCGAAAACAAAAAAACTGCAGCGGAGGCGACAAAAAACGTCAAAGGCTTTAAGACTCACCTACCTTGTCCTTGTCATCCCCATCCTCAAGCAACAGCCGAACAACCTCCACCTCAGATGCCTTGGCCGCTAAATGCAAGGCAGCTTCACCATTGATGGTGACACAGTCTCTATCCGCTCCATGCTCAAGCAACAGTCTCACCACCTCAGTACAGCCTGCAAGAGCTGCCAAATGCAAAGGCGTCTCCTCGTCATATCCGGCCACAAGTTCGGATTCAGCTCCATTCTCAAGTAAAAGTTGGACAGCTTCTTGCCGTCCTGCCTCACAGGGTTTCGAGACTTACAGACCCTGTTTCAAAGCAAAGGAATCGGTCTGAACTGGAGGGCATTAAGAGCTTTCGGATCCCACCCGGTCCTCTGATGCCAGATGCAACGCTGTTTGCCCTAGGGAGTCCTGCTTATTCTGATCCGCGCCTGCTTCCAGAAGCAAACCTGGGACTGGAGACTCTAGGAGGGAAACACAACAGCAGAAACAACCTTGATGTGGCCAAAATACTCTGGCTGCAAACTGCAAAGGCCTCCAAAGCCTTATGGTTCGGTTCCATTTCATAGGGGCCTCCACACGTGTATACCCTCAAATAGGAAGTTGAAAGCTCCAGAAACAACATCTTCCGTGGTCTTTTTCTTCCTTCGTGACATAGTTTTTTTTCTGCCAACCTCATCAACCAAGGAAGCCAAAACATGAAGGACACCCGTAAGCACTCACGCGCGCTGAAGACAAGCGCACAATGACTCAGTTAAATGGCAAGGGCTCCAACGTTGCGGAGACGGTCTAAATACCACTGAGACGGTACCAGCGACTCTGAGGGCGGTCCTTGAAGGGGTGCGGCAAGTTGGGAGATGTGCCAGGTATACCGAACTTGGTTGTTCACCTGCGGGGTATCCGCTTCCCATAAATCAAAAAACCAACCAAGGGCGTAGCAGTCCGGCCATCTATCACTGGAGCATACTTGGATTTGTAGTCCAGGAGCCAGAAAAAACAAATAATATACCATATTTTCCAGGTTAGGCGCTTCACCCAAATCACCTTTAGCAGAACCAGGAATAGCAAAAAACATCTTGCAAAATCTTGCAAGGAAGCTCATACAATCCAAATGCCCCTTGGAAGCTGCAACTTGCAGTGCCGTCTGCCCGCACTCGTCGGCAGCGTCTGGAGGCAGGCATCGATCTCGGAGCAAGGCTTCCAGGACCAGGGAACCATTCGCAGCACAGGCCAAAGCTAGCTGCATGCGATCTTCAGGTAAGGGCGTCATGAAATCCAGCACTATCACTTGCACATCTAGATCTAATGTTAGCTCGTCATCATCCTGGAATTCCGTGTAGTCATGACTAAACCATCTCTGTCGGAATCTGCTGACTCCGATCTGCTCTGCCAAGCGCTGCTTCAGGAACTTGACAGCTGTGCCCTCAACCTCATCGGCTTTCCAGCTGGCGAGCGTTTCGCCAGATGTCGCCCATGAAATGCGCAGCATTTCAGAGGAAAAGTCCTTTTCGGATCACTTTAAAGACAATTTCAACTAATAGTCTTGGACTTCCTTGTTGTAACTGTGCTGCTACAGGCTCCTACCGTGCTACGGTCTCCTTTCGGCTGCTTCTGCGTATACGCGTACCAGTTTGAAGGCCTTCGAGCCAGAAAGCGGAATCAACTGACTGGTGCGGAGTCCAGAGGATGGTGGCTGACCGGCCTATACTGCAGATTCCCTTAATTCGAATCCAAATTCCTTAGAATCGAATTCCGGGGAAGTCAAGAACTACCTGGAGTCGACCTGTTCGTACCTCAGAGAATGGGTACAAGTTGGCCGTCGGCGGTTCGGCATTCTTTTTCCAGAGGGAATCGGCCCTCCCGAGCAAACTGCCTGGACCCGGGGTAGGGGCCTTCTGTGGGAAGCTACAGAATGGGTCGTTGCCTGGAAGCCACAGCTTCCGCAAATGGAGATCCAGAAGTAGCTGTCCAGCCAGGTGACTGGAAGGTGCTGGTGAGTGCTGTGTTCGCTTGGACAAGTGCGGCTTCCAAGAGGCTTTGCCCGAACTGGCGTGGACCTCCCATAGTCCCTGCTTTGCTGAAAAAAGGAAAACGACTTCAAATGATGCTGGTGCGACGTGTCTCACATGCCCCGCGAGCTGCCTTGAGCATGTACTTCACTGTCTCATAGGCACAGGCCACTGCCACCGGGTGTGCATGATATGTGGCACCCCAGCCAACCTGAGGATGGAATCGAGTTGATATTTATGGGCCGTGTATTGGAACAGGGTCCCCAATTCCTGGACCTGCTTGATTTGGGTCCGTATTAACATGCATCCTTTCACTAAGACCATTGACAGCTGAGGGATCTTCCTATTGCCATAAAGATCCTTTCGGCACATGAAACATTGTGAAACACATGCCGTTTTGGAGAAGAGCAGCTCTTACCGTCCTGAAATCCACCTTTTGCCACGAAGCTTCCATTTCAGGAATCATCTGACACAAGGACTAAGTACGTATTCTGGTAGCTCTGAATATCTTTTTGGGGGGTTGCATAGTTGCATGGAGTCGTTCTTTCACTGGAACTGTCACCTCACTGAGAATTCCCTGGCTACTGTCATGTGACTCTTGGCTTTGGAACGTTCATCTTGATAAATACATACGCAAGGAGTAAAACAACACTTAAGAAACTACACTGGCAAAGGTGGAATTTCTGGAACCATTGATGTTCAAGGGCCTAAACCGAGGGTGGGTGATCCTGAGATACGAAGATCAGGACTGTCAAAGTGACCTCTTTGGAGCCGTCAAAGTGACCTCTTTAGGGACTAAGTGACCTCAGCCACTGGGATCTCAAAAGATCACTTTGAAGGTCCTGGCTGGTGGCATTCAAGCCGTTGTGATGGGTTGTGGGGGGCTATGTTTCTCTCCTATGTACCCAACGCGGATAGGACTTAAATTCGACGAACCCTCCCATACCAATTGGGCCGAGGCAGAAATTCTTGCCCCATGTCATGCTTCTAGGCGATAATATCTGGTGACTATTTTTTTTCCCAGCGACACAAATCCGACGAAAAAGAAGATCTGGGAGAGTCTTTAAGTGTCTGACTGTCTTCAAGAATTTGAGGATATGCAAAGTGAGATTTCAATCAGATCACCAGAATGTGACCAGTTCCAAACCATCATCCAGTCTTCTCACACCTGCAAAAGAAGGGTTAACCCAACAAACTCCACCTGTTCTATCTCTCCTGGGGTGTCACCAATCCCCCAAAGTTGGACAAGTGATCCAGCCTTCACGGCAACGCCTTCAGCCTTGAAAGCGTCCTCCGATCTGGACGATGGCAGATGGGCCGAGTGACTGGCTTCTCCCAGAAGTAGTTCTTGATCTTCTGCCGCACCTCGATGTGGATCACGGACATGATGCACTGACTCAATCATCCGCCTATTCTACCACACAATCATGCAATGATGCAACAAAAACCATCATGCAACCAATTGGGCAAGCAACAATACCAACAAACATTTAGGGAAGCTAAGCAGCTACAACACCGCCCATGCGGAATATGTGTTCAAATCCACACGTCTGTGCATCTACTCTTCCAACACTTTCTACCAGCGGATGCGCGGTAGGGCTTTCGACCTGAAGAAGCTGGCTGCTTCAAGTTTAAGCTCCCTCCAACAAGAAGTGAAAGTGGAAGCCCTATTGGAAAGACTCATTTTCATCACAAAAACAGGAGGTTGTACCATGTTGTACACTTCCATGTTCGTTGGAGGGAGGGTATGTGAATGTTGTTTTCCAGGGGGCGGGATGTTGTCTCAGAACTGGTCCAATTGCCATGCGAAATCCATCTCAACCTCTCCCCAAGTCCCTGTCGGTCCGGTCTCCTGGTCTGACTGACCTCCAACCGAGTTGTGCTTCTGTAGACTCTTGAGAACCATACACCCCGCCATTTGAATTGAACATCCTCTTCAAAAGGGGGGGTGTATGGTCCTCGAGAATCTACATTATGACCAACTCCAGAATTTCGAACTCGGTCAGTTCCTGCAAGGCCTGGACCTTCGACCTCGAGAGGTCGACCTCCACTCCTCTCTAGTTCAAGGCACACCCACCATGGAGAGAGGCAGGTACGAGCCCGTGAGGCCTTTGGCACTGGTCACCTGGGTGGAGCTCAAGGGGCCACGGGACAGCATCGCGGCTTTTTCAGAGCTGAACAAAATACATGGTACTAGCTGCTTCCAACGGGCCACCAATGGACAACCCTACCCTACGTATAGGTCTCCATTGGGCACCCATTGGGAGTGCTAGGTAGAATGTCGATGATGGTTCAATCCGCCATGTCTGGGGATGGCTTTTACCATCCATGCCTGGGGATGGTTTACTCATCTAAGCTGATTTAAGCTAGATTCTACATTGAACAAAATATACCGGGGCCACTACCAGGGCCCTCTGCTTGAGGTGTCTATTCAAAAGACCCCCAAAAAGGCCTATAGGGGTTAGGGATGTCCATAAACAACCTCTTGTGGATCCTGGTAAACGCAATATGAGTTGAACCCGCGCCACTCCAGTGATTGGGAGACCCACCCCAGTGCGAGCTGCTCGGTCAAGGAGGTCTGTAGAGTTCTAAAGGTCAAATGGCGCTCTCCAAGGATCTGAAGAAAGCGCTCTCCAAACATCCCTTGATACATTGTGGTTTCGGGTGCGAAGTGGACGAACAAACATACAAACAACGTGCTATTTTTTTCGTGTGTGGCATTCACTGTTCGTGAGGGGGTTGGAATTTGTTGAGAACAACAAGGAGTAAACACATCAAACCCCAAGGATGCATTTGAGTGTAAGACAATGGAAGCGGCCAACAAAAGCAAAACAGTTCATTTATTTGTTGAATGGTTTTAAAACCTCTGCACTTCCAGCAAGCACGGTAAGGTCCGAAACATTGTTTTGAACATTAAACATTGTTTCAACAATTTGTTTTGACAATTGTAAAATTGTTTCAATTGTTTAACAAATTGTTCTATTTTTTAAAAATGGTTTAACAATTGATTGAAAATTGTTCTAAAATTGTTTAAATTGTTTGAAAACTAACCGTTCTAAAATTTGTTTGAATTGTTTGACAGTTGTTGAAAACTGTTCTAAAATTGTTTAAACTGTTAAAATAACCTTCAACAATTGATTGGAAATTGTTTTTGAAAATGTCTCGAACTGTTCACAAATTTCTTGAGAGCGATTGAACTGGCTAACAGTTTTTGAAACTTGTTTTGAAGATTGCTCGGGCTATGTAACAACTGTTTCGAAGGGTGATGAACTTGCTTTACAACTTATAGAAGGGGCCTCAAAATACCCAAGGTTGTTGATCTTTTGTTGTTGCTCACTCTTCTCTCTTCAACAATGAAATTGTGGCCGCGCTATTTCGATGGGGCTTCTAAACCTCTCCCCTTTGGGAATCAACAAATATTGCAATTACTACTATATTGCTACCTGTGGACAGACAGCAACAGTAACCTACTTTCCAACCAAACGCGCAAGCAAGAGCAACCGCTTATCCAAGTGCGGTGCTGGAGGCACAAGAACGGCAACAGCAAGGTCTTTGGGTCAAGCACAGATTGTAGATGGCCAAGCAATTTAATGTTGGCCGGTGCAGCGTCGCAAGTGACCAAAACAACACGGACTTGTGCAGGCACAGTGGACAAACCCATCACCTGCGCAAAGTGCTGGCCACATCGTGCAGGCTTGCTTGTTTGGCAAGGCAATGGAATCGAAATAGTTTGTCTGGTTTCCAACCCGGAAGCTGATTTGAGCGTGGGAAGCCAAAATTGACCACGCGCCTTGGCCATACGCAGCAAGGGTGGCTTCCAGTTCAAGTTCATCGAAGATCATATTAGACAAAGCAAATTTGATCTGCCTGTTACTGGCTTGCGCTTCAAGCAAGAAATTTGCCAACCCAGTCTGCTGACCTTTTACAATCAGCTGCGAGGCAAACAACTTGCAATCATGGGCGTGGCTACTACTACCGCCGCCAACTTGCTCTGCAACATGGCGGCGGGCCATGTTTTCGTTGCTGAAAAGCAGCTCTGAGGACCGCTTCAGGGCTCCATCCCTTCCACTTTCCTTGGCCTCTTTGCCGCTGGACTGCCCAACTTGGCTCAACAGGCATCAAGAAATCTTTGGTTGTTGATGTAGAAGAAAGCGGTGTATGTGGAGATCGGTCAGTACGCCCATCAAGGCGTGAGGTGGGTCAAGCGTATAGACCCCAGACCAAAAGGCTTGGTCGGCTGATTCTGTGAGGTGTGGGAGTGGTGTAGCAGTTGGAGGTGGAGAGGTCGCGGGCGGTGGCTGGTTGTCTGCTGCATCTTCTGTGAAGACAAAGAGGACTTCTGATTGCTCGTCGCAGTGGTCCATCGTGGGCCCGTTGATGTGCGAAGGCTCGATGAATGGGCAACGGCCTGTGCTGTTGGCAAAGCAGGCCTGGGATTTGAACGCATCGGCTTTTTCGGTTCTTTTTTGCTCCTGTTTCCCAAGCAAGCGGAGCAAGCAAGCGCGGCTGAGCCCCCGCCTCTGTGGCCACCTCGATCGCATCGCCTCGCCACTATGTCGCGGTACCAGCGCATCCTCTTCGCCTGGATGGACTGCCAAGCCAATCGCAATCACAATCCGAAGCTCAGGTACTCTTGTAAAGTTCTCCATCAAACAGTACCAGCAGTACTGATACGTCATGGCTGAGATTTGGAAAGCGCTTCAAAGTTTGTGCCGAAAGCGCTACAGTACAAGCAGTATGCATGAGCAACACAGAATCAATGGGAAGATTGTTTGAAGTGTCTAAAGCTTGCTAAAAGGCAAATGTTGTCATATGTTGACATATGTGTTCAACCTGTCAAATGGAAAACTATATAGCTGAAGACACTTGTTCATTAAAAAATTACTTTACTTCGATTGATCCCCACCATGACATTTCAATCATTTGTCTTGATGCCATAGTGAGGAGCATGTTGCCATAGTCGTTAGATGTCGTTAGTATTGTAGTTCTCGATGTTGCTTGTGGGTCCTCGGGTTGTGTGCTGTGGTTGTGTGCTGTGTTGTGGTTGTGGTTGTGTTTGTGGTTGTGTGTTTGTGGTTGTGGTAGTGGTTGTGTGGTGGTTGTGGTTGCGGTTGTGTCTTTGTGATTGTGTGTTTGTAGTTGTGGTTGTGGTTGTGTCTTTGTGATTGTGTGTTTGTAGTTGTGTTTGTGGTTGTGTGTTTGTGGATGTGTTTGTGGTTGTGTTTGTGGTAGTGGTAGTGGTTGTGATTATGTGTTTGTAGTTGTGGTTGTGGTTGTGTCTTTGTGATTATGTGTTTGTAGTTGTGGTTGTGGTTGTGGTTGCGTCTTTGTGATTGTGTGTTGTACTTGTGGTTGTGGTTGTGTGTTTGTGGTTGTGTTTGTGGATGTGTTTGTGGTTGTGTTTGTGGTTGTGTGTTTGTGGTTGTGTGTTTGTGTGTTTGTGGTTGTGTGTTTGTGGTTGTGTTGTGGTTGTGTGTTTGCGTGTGTGTGTGTGTTTGTGGTTGTGCTGTGTGTATGTTTGTGGTTGTGTGTTTGTGATTGTGTCTTTGTAGTTGTGTTTGTAGTTGTGTGTTTGTGATTGTATTTGTAGTTGCGTGTTTGTGATTGTGTTTGTGATTGTGTTTGTGATTGTGTGTTGTGGTTGTGTGGTTGTGGTTGTGTGTTTGTGGTTTTGTGTTTGTGGTTATGTGTGTGTGATTGTGTCTTTGTAGCTGTGTTTGTACTTGTGTGTTTGTGATTGTGTTTGTGATTGTGTGTTTGTGATGTGGTTGTGTGTTCGTGGTTTTGTGTTTGTGGTTATGTGTGTGTGTGTGATTGTGTCTTTGTAGTTGTGTTTGTAGTTGTGTGTTTTTGATTGTGTTTGTGATTGTGTTTGTGGTTGTGTGTTTGTGGTTGCGCGTTTGTGGTCGTGTGTTTGTGATTGTGTGCTTGTTGTGTATTTGTGGATTTTATCTGGCAAACTATCTGGTTGAGGTCCAGCGGTGCACACTGCGATCGGATCCTTGCGGTTGAGGTCCAGCGGTGCACACTGCGATCGGATCCTTGCGGTTGAGGTCCAGGGGTGCAC